AAGCTGTTTTGGGTCTGAACAACATCGTTTGGCCGGGTGCGCCATCGGCAGGTTTATGCGACAACGTATAACAGCTCCCCCCTTTCTTGCAGTTTCACGGCACCCCATACCCGCCGGGCCCCCGTCCGCCGCGCCGGCTCCGTTTGGGAGGGGGGACACTCGGGCGAGGATTATTAATCGGCATCGGGCCGTTAATTAAAAAACAAACGGACAAACCACCGCGCAACACCGCGCGCTGCCGTTTTCGGGGAGATTTTTGTTCTTTGGTTTCTTTATTTGCGGGGTGGGGCCGGACCAGGACCAAGTGGGGCGACACGGACGGCGGGCAAAGTGCAGCGGGGTCGCTCTCGGTCGCGCCAATATATCGGACCCGAGCCCGAGGGATCGATCCTATCGACGCGGACATGCGGGCTGCAGCACCGTGCGGCCGGCGCCAGCCTTCTTCTCTCCTCCTCCTCACTGGGGCGGCCCCGGGGGGGGGGAGGGATCATGCAGGCCGCTGTTGTACCGCGGCGTTGACGATCGAAAAGGATAAAAAAGAAATATAATGACGACTGGCCGCGCTGACGTCGGAGCCAAGCATCGGGGCGCATGAAGAAGGAGCGGCTTCTGGTCGTGTTCGCGTGTGTTTATCCGCACCTACCTCTAGGGATTTGAAGTTAAGACAAAAAATCAGGAAAAGTTGATGAAAAACACAAAAATCAGGGGAAAATGTGATTATTTTTTTTTTTTGAAAAAAATGATCTTAATTTTCGTTTTCTGTTTAAATTTTCACGGAAATTGTACCGAAATGCCTGCTTTTTTTTCCAGAAAATGTAATTCTCTACCTACCTCTACTCGAACGGGTGGGATAGGCATGCCCGCTCGCGAACCACCTGCAGCAGGAAACGCCCAAAATACTAGACCACCGACCTGTTGGGTGTCGGACTGCTGGGAGAGGCACCTCTGTACCCTACCACTGATACGTGGAAAGCAATTGCTCACCGTCATCTTGGAATAAGTTAGAGGGGAAAAAATAATTCTCGTGACGTTTTCCTTTACGCACACACACACACACACACACACACACAGGTATAAATGAGCGTCGGGGGGCAGGAATCGGCATCAGTGCCATCAACATCAATGAATTCCACTTGCCCCCTCTGCTCCCCTCCCGAAGCCCGCGGAGCCGCGCCGCCGCAGCTACAGAAAAGCCAATGAAGCCATTCACCTTATCTCTCTCTCTCCGAGCGGGCGATGCCGACTGGGACCGGACTGGCTGCTGCCGGGCCCATTGCTGGTATGGAGGGACCCTTATTAAATCGAACTGCATACCCGAGTTTGGCACGCCGGGCCGCGCGAGTCGGCCGAGCAGGGCGCATTACCCGCTGGCAGAGAACAGGGAGATAAGGCCATTGGGCGCAAAATTTGACGAGTTCATTCTCGGCAAAGGTTGGGGGGAGGGGGGGGGATCGCTGGGTGACGATACCCATTCTGCCGAGAATTATTGCGAAGGGTGGCACCCAAATTAAGCCTGCCGGTCGGTCCCACCTCGCGTGAGGGCCGGCGGCCGGTCCCAGCCGGGCCACCGCCGGACCACCGGGCTACCACTAATTGGTGAGTGCCGGAGGTCCCTCCCGCTCGCCTCTCCCAGCACATCACATCACATATGAGGTTCGAATCCCACCGAATACTCTGTCCATTTTTTTCCCCGCCTTTATTCTCGTCAGGCTCGGAAAGGGTGCTTCTGTAAATTTGCAATCATCACATACACATATGCGTGTCGTCTGATAAGGAGAGAGACAGACAGAGAAGAAAAGAAACTCGTGGACTGAAAGGGGGAGGGGCTATCTTGTCCTCATCCGCTGTCGTGTGCGTAAGTCTGTGTGTATTTGTGTGTGTGGCAAATAAACAAAGACGTTCGTTACCGCCTCGCGATATACCAGCTCCGGGCCGATATGTGTATGCAATAAAGACCTTTCTAATGGCGATAATTAACCCACGCGGGAGCCTTTGATGAAGAAAAACTTTTATTGGCTAAGCAAATCCATTATGTTTACGACCGTATTGGCGGCAGTAGCGGTTTTCAAACCGAGGCGGGGGAGGGGGGGTGCTTTAGGAGCGGTCCACCTCGGTCACTGGCATAAGATACGCCAAAGAGGCCTGAAGTTCAAGTAAAGAGTGATCCACAGCCGTGGTGTGCAGAGCGGCTGTGGTGCACCAGAAGGGACCTTGTGAGTGTATTGTAAATTTTCAAAACTTGATCTGTCCCGCAGCTCGCAGCGCTCTTAAAAATAAATAAAAATTTTAAGTACTTGTTTGTTGTTTGTAAATCAATGTTATTTTCCACTGTAACCGTTTTCATTTATCTATTGAATGTGTCTTTAAGCTGGAGCGGCGTGAGGTCTTCCAGAGGCGCGCGCGGGAGGCTGCAGGTCCAGGGCGTGGCGTGGCGCGGCCGCTCTGCTGTGTTATATGAATTAGATCTGCGATCCTTATCGGTTAGGCCCTTGGCTCGTTTAATGTTCCGTACGGACGACGCTCTTATTGTAATTTTTCTGTTATGCCGTTCACGTTTTATAAGGGCAACTTTTGTTCTCTTCTTGTTGTTTTCGTCCGGGGAGAGGAGGAGGAACCTGTTTTAGACTTTGGTAATCACCATTAAGGTTTTCCTCGGGGAGCAGATACAATTTAAACGCAGTGGCGTTAGCCGTGCCGCACGGGGCGGTGCGCGGGGCGTGGCGTGGCTGGCGTGGCGGGCGACTTTGGCCCCGCGCAGTAGCGTAACAAGTTTCCGAGGTGCTTCTGCTCGTCCTGGCCAGGCTGCGGGGCCGCGCCCGGCGGCCGCGCCCGGCGGCTGCAGCCGAACGGTAGCGGCATATCGAATGGATGTGAAAGATGTATAGTCGCCGCCTAAAGCAGTACACTGCGAGGCGAGGGAGCGTTTGATTCCGACACTCAGGCCGTTTCTTCTCTCCATCCCTTAGACAGACACATCTACAAAAAAAACTAGTAAATTTACGAGAGTGCCACAACGAGCTCGGGGGATGTTGAACCACTATTTTGAAATCGCTTAGCACTTCTATTATTTGACATTTTTTTGCATAATTTAGATTCATTCTAAAAATGGCAAAAACGCACGAGCGCAATTTTTATTGTCTGCGAGTCGTCTCTAATATACCGAAGGCAGCGACACGCTGCGGACGTAATACGCGGAGACAAAAATATTGCGATAGGCCGGGGAGTCATTAATTTGCACGTGTGCATTGATTGGGAGGAACAGTAGCGGAGCAATAACTCAGCAGGAGTGGTGGCGACGAGAGAGAGAGAGAGGGGGAGAGAGAGAAGTGTGAAAAATCTGGCGACGGCCCGCCGTGTGTTATCTGCCGCCGCGTTAATTTCTCATCTTGGGGAGCGGAGGGGGAAATAAGGAGCGAAAGATTACGAACCGATATCCCCGCTGGGGGACACTCGGGCGAGGATTATTAATCGGCATCGGGCCGTTAATTAAAAAACAAACGGACAAACCACCGCGCAACACCGCGCGCTGCCGTTTTCGGGGAGATTTTTGTTCTTTGGTTTCTTTATTTGCGGGGTGGGGCCGGACCAGGACCAAGTGGGGCGACACGGACGGCGGGCAAAGTGCAGCGGGGTCGCTCTCGGTCGCGCCAATATATCGGACCCGAGCCCGAGGGATCGATCCTATCGACGCGGACATGCGGGCTGCAGCACCGTGCGGCCGGCGCCAGCCTTCTTCTCTCCTTTTCCTCCCTGAAAAATAATCAAACTGATCGACATTTTATTCCTCCTCCCTGTTTTTTCTCTTCT